CAGCAACCCTGTATAGGGTTTACAAGGAGCAGCTGGTGAGCTTGAACCGCCGACCTTGCAGTTCAAACGGCTTTGCAGTCTGTATATATATATTAGTCTGTATTATATATAAATATATAATTGGAGAATCTCTGCTTATTTTGTATGGAATAGAAATGGTAACTTTATACCAAAAGGCAGAAAGATGCCTCATGGAGAAAAAGACCTTTTATAGTTCATTAAAAATATAAATTCAATTCAATTTAAAAAAAAATGGTAAAGCATTTCTTCTTTGCAATACTAAATAATAACTTTATTCGCTATATATTTTTTTGCAATATGATGATAAAATGCTCAATCTTCTATCAGAAAAAGTGAAACAATGTGTGAACAATTACAGTGTTGGGGTCTAAGTCAATGGTTTCTTTTGAGAATGAAAGCAAATTAGCTCAAGAATCACTATTTCTACACTTGTTCTTTTGGCTTTAAGTGGCTTTTAAAGGGAGTATACCCAGATGAGAAACTTCTAACACTCATGCAGAGATGACCTGCTTGAAGAACTGGGCTGCCTGATTAACTATTAACTGTTCTCCATAGGATTAGATAATTAACGGCATTGATGACCATTAATTAGGAGGAGGGCACATTAATTTGTCACTGGATAGGGCCCTTACAATGATTTATAGGTTGGTGCTACTTGAAAACGTGACGGAAAAAAGAAAGAGAGAGAGAATCATTAAGTTACCTTCTCAAGTGGCCAGCTAAAGAGGGCAGAGGGTCAAAAAAGGGCCAAAGTGGTCACTTAAGGGTGAAGTCCCAAACACCAAAGCAGTGCCAAGCCACATTGACCATCATTTGGTGATGAAGTTAAAAATATGCTAATTTATTGGTGGCAATTCTCTCTTTTTTATGGTTTCAAGCAGTTAAGACAAGTGGCCTGCTTAAGAGCTTTTCATTTGAAAAGAGATTAAACAAAATGGTTTGTCAAGGCTGCTTGGCTGTTTTATGTCTTTGTTAGAAAAAATTGCGCAGCCTATGCTGATAACGATCACATCACCCAAAAGCCATCTCTCTCTGAACATTTACTTCGTTAATAAATACATCAACTCTAATTGCTTAATAGTTCCATGTTCATTTGGTCTTTAGCAAGATTAAGCTGAAATAAATCTTTTGTACTGCTACTGTCTGTCACCATTGCTTACATAAAGGTCACAGAAAAAGATTAAATTTTACAGAAATTTACTTAAAGACATTAGTGCAAAGTATACTTTGTTTAATTCAGTACAGAGAGCTAAAGGTGGTTTCATTAATAGTAAGAAGAAATGTTTTTATTACATACATAAGGGTCCTCTTGTCTTAGCTGTACAAAATTATGGGTAGCATATACATTCCACACACAAGTAAGCACAGCTCATTAACATGCAATTAAATATGCTTTGGAAAGCCTTTGAAATCTGCATGTCATACTTATTATGTAAGTTTGGAGTTTACTTTGAACAGATATTTAAAACAAGATCTTTTTTTTTGTAATCCAAAGATATACATTAAAATAAAAAACACAAATAGGAGAGTCTAAAACATACCATTCCATTGTACTAAAGAACATAAAAAAAATTATTAGCATGAAACATGTTTGAAGCCTTTCATTAAAGTTAAAAAACAAAACAAAAAAGGAAATACTGTTTATCTCATGACTGTGAATTAAAACATAAATATTCTCGCTTACCTCAATGGTGAATAGTTTTCTTTTTAATTTGAAAGCTAAATCTTTCACATCTGATGTATCACAAGTCAAGTTATTAAGCCGGGGAATCTTCCGTATATGAATCAAACCTTGTGTACCAGAAATTGAAAGAAAAAAAATTAAAATGCTGTCATCAGAAGCATAAATTAAGAGTCTTATAGCAGAATTCTGTAAATTTACACACAAGCATCCTCCCCTTTTAAAACTGGAGCTTACTACCAGGAGCAATGAAGCAAATGGTGTGATTATACTCAAGTAATCAAGCAGAATAAGATAAACAGAAATCCTTGTGCGAGGAAAACTAATTGCACTTTGGTACAGAAGTACAGATGTAAAGAGGGATCTTAATACTTGTCAAAACTACAGCCGGTTTGTGTGTGATTTTCTCTTGTATTTACAGTAAGCAAATATGGCTATCACCTTGCATGCTGCCCACGGCACTACTGAGTGATCTTTATTTTATTAAATGCACCAGTAAGCAGCCAGCAAAACAAGACTTATGGGTTACTGATAACCAGTGAAGCACTAATGAAAAGTATTTCATTTTGTACTCTATTAATGACTTGAACAAACCGTTGACGACAACTACATTTCAGAGTACACTTTAGGACCAAACATTATCCTGATGCTATCCAAGACACTCTTTTCTGTGGCATGCTAGACCTTTATGTAGCTGTTAGGAATTTAGCAACAGTGCTAGGTAAACCGTGAGATTTGGTCTCTTGTCAGTAGAAACACTTGCTAATTTTTTCTGACAAGTGGATAGCTTTGGCGTATCCTAATATAGTTTCTGCCTAAACTAGGGGTCATTCACCAAAGGTGAATGGAAGGTTTGTCAGTGCCTTTCTCTGACTTAACCCAAATTTGACAATCATCATTTTGAGAACATTAATCCCTAAACATAAAAAGTCAAATTGCAGATTAGCATTAAATAAAAGTTATTTACAGAACAGCTTCTCAATTTTATTTATTTATTTATTTTGGTGTGTGTCTGTGTTTCAATGCTCAATAATGAAGCTTTTTAATTTTAAGTTTAGAGTAAACCTTCAGGTATGTAACTTTAGAAACAGTCCCTTTGAAAAGAATTCACTTAAGATCTGACTTAAATTTTAAACTTAAAAAATAAAAAGCAAATATGTTATGTAAGAAGCAGTTTATGGCTATAAATATTTTAAAAGCTCATGTAGAGCTATTTAGTAAAACATTTGTGACAAATAAACATCATATTGTTACTTGAACATTTTATATTTTAAAATTATATATATTTGTTTGGCTAGCTATTAAATCAAGAAGCCTTACAGAATCAATGAATGATTTGGCAGATCCTTCTTATTAACAAAATGTTACTAGCCTAGTCATCAGAATCACTCATTAACCTGTGGGGAATTCATTGATCAATTCAGACATTTCAGCAGAAAGCATTATCATAGCTTGTCAATCTTTAAAAATCTTTTAATCAAAATAATATTTTTATAGAATTTAATATATAATTTTCTTGGATTTATAAGCTTATAATACTTACAAAATAATAATATTTATCATTTATTAAGGTAACATTTAATTTGAACAATTTAAAAATAAAATAGAAATGATTAAAGAAATACCTTATTCTTAATAGAGCTCTTCCTACTCAAAATAAAATGATGTATTAAGTACTATCAATTATGTTCACTTGGGCATATACCCTAGGTACACTTATGCAAACAAATGATTATGAGTCAAATTATTTTTACAGTTGTTACTGTTCACAGTTCATATTCTCTAGTCTTAAAATATATATAATTGATTGTTAGATCATACAGGCCTTATTCTTTTTTAAAAGGTTTTATACTGACTCTTCAAAGCAGTGGCTGAATTTATCATATAAAGTATCTTATAATCTTTAATACTTCCTAGTATGTAAAATAACAACAACAAAAATTTCTCATAGTCTTCTTGTTGTTGTTAAGTGTTGTCGAGTTGGTTCCAATTCAAAACCCTGTAATACTGTACGTGGTTTCCAAGGAGCAGCGCGTGAGTTTGAACCACCGACCTGTGGTTCAAACCAACCTTGCAGTCCAGTGCTTTATCCCACAATGCCACACTAGGACTGTTGTTGTTATGTGCCACGGAGTCAGTTCCGACTCACAGCGATCCTGTACAGGGTTTCCGAGCCTGGAAATCTTTACAGGACCAGAAAGCCTCAACTTTCTCCCGGGGAAAAGCTGGTAGTTTCGAACTGCAGACCTTGAGGTTTGCAGCTCGATTCATAACCACTACTACCAGAGCTCTGGCCTCAAACTAGCTATTCAGTCTTTAAAGGTTTCCAGGGAAGAATAATTGTTTCACAATAACTGTAACAATAATTTATGTACACTCAGAATGTAACACTTGATAAGGTAAGAATCGGGCTGCTAACCTCAAAGTCAGTAGTTTGAAATTACCAGCTGTTCCGTGGGAGAAAGAGGAGGCTTTCTGCTCCGGTAAAGATCTACAGCCTCGGAAACTATGTACAGGGTCTCTATGAGTCGGAACCGACTACAGGGCACATCACAACAACAATAACAAGGTAAGAATCTATTATTTATTCTATTCTATATTCAATTTAGACCCCAAACATACAAAATACTAATATTTTCCTATTCAAATAGTTCTATATAAGAACTTTTATTTAAAAATCTTATAAATATAAGTAGAAATTCCAATTAATTGTCCTGTGTTTATACCAAAGTGTCAATATTTTTAAAGTCTTCATAATTCAAACTAATAACATGAGTAAATGGAAAATATTTTTTACCTACATATAGACATTTTAATACACGATACATTATGCATTTAACTTATCTAAAGTGTCAATCTTTGTAAGTATGAACTGTCATACAAAGCTGTTACTATTAGAATTAACATATTTATTTCAACATGATTAATAAATACTATGGATTTCACAGCACTTTAGACCACTGGGCTAACAAAACATCCATCTGACTAAGCTATGTCTTACTTAGTACTAGCATTGGGCTCCTTTCAGTTGATTACTATATTTCCTTTGTAGTCTTAATGTAGTTTGGTTATAAGCTACCCACATTTTATAGACATATCGTAAAATAAAACTCATGCTACTTGATAGAAGATATTCTAACGACACAAAGTACCCTAGAAGATGCCAGGATAGGTTCTTCTCATTATAAAGGTGATGCTTACCATGATAATCCTTATATAATGCATTAGTTTCTTTCTCAGAACCAATAAATGATTCCAGCCCAACTACTGTATCTGACAAGTTTGTAACACGAGCAATGACTGCTTTATTCTGTAAAACATGGAAATAAAACATTCATGTTATGTTAAAAAAATAAATATCTACATAGAGTCACTACACTATTTCATTGACAAATTGTAGTGGAGACAGGCTATTAACAGAGAAAAATCACTTAAAAGCTAAAGTTAATCACAGGTTGAAAATAAGCTCTTCATAAAAATCTCAGCCCATATAGTCTGCCATTCTAATTTGAAGAGTTGAGGCAATACACTTAAATTTTATTAGAAAATATAAGTGGTTTTCCCATTATTCTTCCATTTACTTCACCCATTTGGCATAAGAAGCATTAGATAATACAGTGCAAAGTATAATACAAGGGTTCCATAGCCGTCTGTCAGCTGGGACCAGGTCCCAGTCTTATAACAGCTGAGGTCTTCATTTCATATTGGAAACATTGAAAGGTCTAGCTAAGAGGTTGCAGAATGCCTAGCTTTGGAGTCTTCTGTTCTCTGTTTCCAGATACTGCCATTTGGCTCTGGGGTAATATGAAAGCAAAGAAAAAATGGTAGATGACTAATCAGTAGCCTCCTCTTTCCTTCCCAAGACAAACTGAAACATCTGAAAATACTGGGAAACAATTCAACTTCAAAGTCTGTGACCACATTCTGCCATAATAAAATAATACATTAGCACTTATCCAAAAACAGTATTCTAGTTATTAAGCAGCAAAAATTCTAAAATATCCAGAGTTTCAGGTTTATAAAACTATACACAATACTCTGCAGTTTTTAAAAAAAATCATTATTTTATTTAATGAAAAGTCAGTATTCCCTTTAGCCCCTGACAAGGTTGTTGTTGTTAAGTGACATCGAGTCAGTTCCAACCCATAGCGACCCTATCTAGGGTTTCTGAGGAGCAGCTGGTGAGCTTGAACTGCCGACCTTGCAGTTCAAACGGCATTGCAGTGTGGTGCATTATCCCACAGCACCACTCCAGGGTAGTAGTATTTGTTGTTGTTAAGTGCCGTCAAGTCGGTTCCGACCCATAGTGACTCTGTACAGGGTTTCCGACGGTGTAAATCCTTATGGGAGTAGAAAGCCTCATCTTTCTCCCGCGGAGCGGCTGGTAGTTTCGAACCGCTGACCTTAAGGTTCGCAGCCCGATTCATAACCACTACGCTACCAGTAGGTAAGTAAACAAACAAACAAAAACAAAAACAAACAAACAAACAAACAAACAAACAAAAAAATATATATATATAGAGAGAGAGAGACAGAGAGAATCCTGGTGTGATGCTGTAGGTTAATTCGCTGGACTGCAATGTTGGTTTGAACTCCAAAGTTGGTGGTTCAAGCTCACCAACTGCTTCTTGGAAATCCTATACAGGGTCACTATGGGTCACAAATGACTGGACGGCATTTAACAACACTCTGGTAGCGTAGTGGTTACGACTCGGGCTGTGAACCGCAAGGTCAGCAGTTTGAAACTACCAGCTGCTCCGCGGGAGAAAGATGAGGCTTTCTACTCCCGTAAAGATTTACACCCTCGGAAACCCTGTGCAGGGTCGCTATGAGTCGGTTCCGACTCCACGGCACATAACAACAACAACAACAATATATATATATACTATACACACACACACACACACACACACAGAATGCGAGCTCTGGTGGCACAGTGGTTAAGCACTTGCCTGCTAACTGGATAATGGTTCAAATTCACTGGTCACTCTGGGGCAGAAAGATATGGCAGTCAAATTCTGTAAAGATTTACAGCCTTGGAACCCCTATAGGACAGTTGTCTTGCTAAATTGAAACTGATTCAATGGCAATGGGCTATAGGATTATATACACACACACACATACATATTATATATATAATTTATTTTCTCAAAAGATCTTGATAAGATAAAAAAAATACTGTTAGTTAAACATACTTTGGAAACTTCAATTTTTATACTTGCTAATACCCACCAATTAAAACCTTTTTTTTTATTATTATGGGGAATGTAAAACAATTCAGAAATAATTTATCAGTCTGATGCTATGCCCTGTTAAAAGAAAAGCCCAAAATATAATCAGACATTCATATTCTGCAAAAGTGATTAATTTTTGAGCTTACTGACATTCTCTCTTAAATCCTCTTGTAAGGAATGGATATGAATAAAATTAAAAGAGAAGTGATCAACGCTACCTTACTCAGCACTTACTCACCAAACATTGTTGAAATGACTAGCTAACTAACATCTTGAGCAGTACCTGAAAGTCCTCCATAAGCAGGAATGTGCACGGAATAAAGAATTTTTCACCCTTTAAATTAATGCTCTTAACAACAACAACAAAAAACAACAAAAAGAATTATCCTTATTTATTGTTAATACTTCTGATCACATGAGCACCAAGTAGAGAAAAACAAACATGATTTGGGTCTGCCCCCTTTTTCAAAGGCAATTTTTCATTCAATGGTGAGAAAATAATCCAGATTGATTCCTTACTCTCAATTCTGTGCCACAGGGGATGGTCCTACTCCAGGAATAACAGGGGCTTCAGAGACCATAAACATGCTCCCCTCAATATTTCTTTAGCCAAAGACCATTATATCAAACTCATCCAGGTTGGGTTTCAGCCAGTTATTCTTCACCCAAACAAAAATGTCTGCCAGACATTCCAACAGCTGGGAGACAGTTCACAATGAGTCAACTTGAAAATGATTCATTGTGCTGAGTATTGAACAATGTTAGGGTGGGGGTGGGGTGGGGGTGGGTTGGTAGTAGAGGGTGAGAACAAGTGGGAGATGAGGAATAACCATGTGGTTCCCCATTAAGAAGAATCTTGGATACCAACCAGCAACTTCTTATCATTTCATTTTTACGATAAGCTCAACAGAATAGAACTCCTGCCATGAACCCCAGATGAACAAGCTCAATTAAAGGCCACTGACAGTATTTCTTAATCAAAAAGGTCAGCTTTCTTTTTATCTGTAAGTAGAATACTAAGTCATTGTGTGTAAATATCTGAATCTAAAATAATAAAAGTCAATCTTGTAGAAATTCAATTATTTAGGATTTCTGTGATTAAATTTATGTTTTACTTAATTATCTGAATCATAGAAAACTGTAAGACTTAAAGACAGACTAGTCTTCCATAATAGTGGTATATAAGCAGAGCAGTGTATATTTATTTATTTCAAAACAGAGTTTTTTATTTCTTAATTTAACCTTACAAAACATTAATAAAGAATCCGACAGTCTATAACATGTAGTAACACTATAGATCTCGCTAGTTTGTGGGAGACAGTATTCCTTTGAAGAGGAAATCTATGAATTAATGAATACAAAAGGTATATGCAACTTGGATCTCAAAATTTCCTAGAAATTCATGAATATATTTCATTTATCTGAGTTCCATAGATTTACAATGCAGTTACAAATGACAAATTCTATTATAAAAGCATACATGAAGTATCAGAATAAGAATAAACTTTCAAGTATACTATTGCCATAAAATAAAATATATTTAACATTAACTGGTATTGCTGTCTGTACAACAATTCTGCTAGATTTTTTTTTGTTTTTAATGTGATAGGGGAAAACAGGTTAATTATGAAAGTTGTGCAGCATGTGAAGAAAGTCTATAGAATAAAAAGCAATGGAAATTATATAGAGGAATATCTTATGTTTCTAACTATGATAAGCTTTATTTTTTATTATAAGCCAATCCAGCATTCCAGTTCTTTGTAGGAACATATACAAATATTTTGACACATAAATGCACATACATTTTTTTAAAAAGGTAAAGATATATTACAGAGTTACTTCTGTACCTCTATGATTCATAAGGAGTACACTGATCTATTCTTATCTTAAAACCACTTTTGTCAAAAGGTGTTTTAAATCATCAATCATTATCATCATCACCAATGGTCTTTAAGATAAAAAATAGGTGAATTTACTTAAAAGAATCTATAATCAACAGCTTAAAAATAAAACCTTTACAAGCATAATAACCATAATTCACGGTAGTAGTAATAGACTATGAACAATAAATTGGCATATTATAAACCCAGAAGTTCAGAGATCTTTAGCAGAGACCCTGAAATGGGAACTTCCACATTTTCATCCTAACAGTTTCTGAGTGGATCTATGTTATTAGCCAAGAGCCAAACCTCTTTGATCTTTAGTATATGTATGCAGTTGGAAACTGAGCAGCAGAGGCATTTGTGTATCAAATATTTAGGCATAAAATTCGAGCATAAGTTTTATATTAATTTTGAATTTGTGATCTTACAGTTTTCAATAAGAAATATTTTAAGTACAGATATTCAGGGCTTGCCATTATGAGTAATTTAATGGTTATAGAGCATGTGTAGCTTAATGATATCATTCAAGTATGTACAATGATACTGCCACTTCTCTTTGCCTGTATGGATGTGGAAATCTAAGATGGCTCAAATATCCTTCGTATTCTCAACAAATCTCCCTTCTCTCCTTGGTGAAAGTTGTCAGCTCTGGACAGCAGCCAAGACATGACTAGGAGGAAAGCCAGAATAGAAGCAAGTCGGTGACCAGAAGTTTTAAGAGTTTGCTGGCAGTCTCACACAGCATTGTTTTAAGTTATATAAAGGGATCTTCAAATGTTCTGTTACAGGATGATTATTTAAATTTAGATTATGTCAAATGTCAGTGCAAAGAAATAGGGCAAATAGAATGGTGCAGTTTTCTACCTTCCTATTCCAATTTTAAATCTTCAGAGTTGTTATTTTGAATGTTCCTTGTTTGGTTTCATAGAATGTTTCCTGCTTGCTTGTATAGAATGGTAATACTATTTTTATTAAGATACCCTAAATCCATTAAATGGATTTTAAATAAAGGAGGATTAACTTAATGCGCCCTTTCAATTCAAAGCACAAGAATTCTAAACTATGTACTTAGTTCAGAGATAAAAATTAAGCCACTGACATATAAAGTTCTCACTATTTTCTGAAAAAAAAAAAAAAAAGTTTAGAGACCTATCTAGAGTTACCCCAAAATTCAGAATACCACAGACCCTGGA